GACCCGCTCCCGGGGGCAACGTCACCGAGGTGTGGGAACACGGTGGCCAGTGTGGGCCAGCCGGGTGCTCGGCACCCTCTACTTTGAGCTGGTCCCACAGGCAGCTGGGGGCTTGGGTTAAGGACCCCCTGGGGCCAGAGGTTCAGAACTCCTTGGCCGCTCGACTCTCAGTGGGTCTCTGCCTCCCCCAGACTCGGTTTCCTCATCTGTCAAGTGGGCCAGGAAAGGCTGGTGTTCGGGGCGCTGCCCAGCATGGGGTACGGTCCAGGTGACACGCAGCTGCCCATCCTTGCCCAGCGGGGCTGCAGGACCAGGGGACGCAGAGGCCGAGGGTCTTCTGGGAGAAGGAGGATCTTGCCTCCCTCCTGGCCTGATGCCTCGTCCACCAGGCAGCACCACAGATGTGGGCCCTGGCCCCGCGGTTGGTCCTCTGCCCAGGCTAAAACCGGAAGGCCCCGCTGGTCCGGCCCACGGCCTTTTGAATTTGCACCTCCGCTCCGGCTCTAGCCCCAGCCGCCCTTCCAACCTGCCTGCACCACGTCCACCCCGGGCCTTTGCACTTGCCATGTCCTCAGCCTGGACGCTTCGCCCAGACCTCTCAGGACCACCACCCCTCACCGCCGACAGAAGACCCCAGCCCTCCTCTACCTCGTGCCCTCCTGTGGCTCCCCCGAAGCCAGAGAGAGCTGTGCCCTCTGCACCTGTCTTGACCTGCACAGGCAGCCACAATGTCTCCCCCCACCCCCTGTCCCCGCAGGCTGTGGCCTCTCCTGCACACGCCCAGAACGGGGAGCACCCTCCCACCACAACCTTCACTGTGGCCAGTGCTCAGGGCTAATCCACTGCACCGGCCCTCAGACATCACTTCAAAAGCCAACTTCTCAGAACCAGCAGATGGCATAACGGTTACATCGTTGGACTCCCACATAATGGACCATAGTTCAAGTCCCAGACCCAGCAACTTAAACTCACACTGGGCGTGTGTGTGTGTGTGTGTGTGTGTGTGTGTGTGTGTGTGTATGCCCAAATTTCCAAGAGGAGAGTGAGGAGAAGGAATTGCAGTGTTGCCATCCCCCCTGGGGGGTGATTTCTCGCTTTCTGTCTCTGTGTCTCTGTCTTTCTGGTGAGTGCACGTGCCCTATAGCAAAAACCTCTCCAAAAAAAAAAGAAAATTTTAAGCCAATTTCTCTTGGACTGGCCCTATCACGCAGTGGTTAAGAGCTGTGCATTAGCAGCCAGATCCCACATGCCTGACCGTGGTTCAAATCCTGGCCCCGGCAGTTTGAAAAACACAGCAGGTGCATGTATGTGTGTGCCCCAAATCCTACCAGATGGAGAAAGGAGGAAAAAGGACTGGGGTGTGACCACACCCGGCTATGAACACGCATCCGCGCACTCTCTGGCAAGCACGTGGGCCCTCTGGCAATGAAAAGGAAAAAAAAAGATTGAAAGTGAAGTTTCATGAGGAACCCAGCAATGCCCCACAGATAAGACCATGCGTTTGAGCCGTTACTCGCCTTTCACAGTGTCACAGCCTCGAGATTTCTTATAAATGATGAGAAAATCGTTTTTATCTGCATTTGTGTCTTTCTGACCGCTTTGGGCTGTGTTTGGAACGAAACACTTGGTCTGCCCAGGAGTATCCCCCTGTTCCCCGTCTTCCCTCTCTGCGTTCCTGCACCCTGCAGGCCCCAGCCCAGGGCCCCGGTCCACACTGTTCCCTCAGCCTCGGCATCCAGCAACTCTTACAGGACAAAGCTCAGCCCCTTCAGACTCGCTAGGAGCCTCTGGCAGTAAGGACAGACCCAGGCCAGCGGATTGGAGCAGACAGTCGAGGAGCATCCCCACACAGATGGACGCTGGGCCTGGGGAGGGGTGCAGCGCTGCGGTCCAGCAGGGAAAGACAAGCACGTCAGCAGACTGCGAGGGGAATGCCTGGGTACATGTGGGAGGGCAGAAACACGGCCCCGACATGCCATTGTGAACACCGAGCCCAGGGCCCATCGTCCACACTGTGAAAGCCCAAACAATAAGGTTTCCAGGAGGAAAGACAAAATATCTTCATGAACCTGGAAAAAAATTTCTTAAAGTAGACTTTGATTATTTGTTCATTTTAGATTTTTGTCATAGGACACATGTGCTTGCCGGAGAGAGACAGAGACAGAGAGGGAAAGTGAGAAACCCCTACCTCCCCAGGAGGATGGCCACACGCAATCCCTTCTCTATGCTCCCCTCAGGACTTTGGGCACGCATGTGCATGTACCTGGTGTGCTTCTCAAGCCTGCAGGGCCAGGACTCGGACTGCGGTCGGCCGTGTGGGAATCCAGCGCCTTATTCACCATGCCACCTGCTGGCCTTGTGTTTGTTTCATGACAAGGAGTATACCGCATCCATGTGCATGCGAGTGAGACAGAGGCTCCCTCGACAGGTCCTCCTCGCGTGGCAATCCCCTTCTCCAACCCACCAGCTCTTCAGGATCCTGGTCACCTGCCGCGTGACACAGGCCAAGCCAGGGATCAGAACCCACAGGCAGCCCCATGGCTTACAGGCAAGCAGGACACTGCATTTCTGCTGTGTCATGGCAGCTAGGCCAATGAACTGAACTTCATTAGAAAAAGAATTTCTTGGGACCAGCAGGTGGTGAGGTGGTTAAGGCAGCTGGATGCCACATGGCAGGTCACACAGTTCAAGTCCCAGACCCAGCAGCTTAAAAAACATGTTGGACACATGTGTGCACATGCCCCAAATCCCGAGACCATGGAGGAGAAGGGGTGAGGCAGAGCCATCCCCACAGGGGTTGACTTCTCACTTTTCCTCTCACTGTCTCTTTCTCTCTCTCTGTGGTGAGTGCACGTGCCCTATAGCAAGTAAAAAAAAAAAAAAAATTTTTTTTGTTTTTGTGAAAAGGTAGCCCACGAGGTAAGAAATGATATTTATGACACAAAGGACGTGTCTAGGATCTATAAAAACTCTTCCAAGCCCAGTTGCAGTGGGGAGGCCGTAGGGCGCTCCTGCATGTACTGGAGCCGCATGGAGACCTGGGTTGGGTCCCAGTTCACCTGAATACGGCACACAAGCCGGCGACGGTGACCATATGGCTAGGAGGCTGAAGATCATGCTGAGTGACCCTGCCAGTGGTCCCTGTATGTCTCGCTCCCTTTCTCTGTCTCTTGATGAGAAAAAGAAAGAAAATATACTTTAAAAACAAACAATAACTACTACAGATCAGTAAGAATAGCCAGGCAGCACAATGAAAACAGGCACTTACCAAAGAATAAAGTCCAACAGCCGATAATAAACACATGGGAAGGTGCTGGACCTCGGGGCCTCAGGGACGCAGATTAAAGCCACAATGAACCGCTTGCAAACACCCAAGGATGGCTGGCTGGACGGCCCCGCAACATGGAATGCTGGTGACCGGGTGGCCCCGCTGGGACTGCACAGCCAGTGAGGATGCACAACGGCACCACCGCTTTGGGAACTGTCCAGCAGTTTCCTACACAGTTAAACGTGCCTAGGCCGGCCAAGTGGTGTGGCGGTTAAGGTGGCCACATTCCACATGGCTGACGCATGGTTCCAATTCAAGTCCAGGGCCTGGTGGCTACAGAAACACACCAGGCATGTGTACACGCATTCCCAAAATTCTGAAAGGAGGGAGAGGTGAAGAAGAAGGGATTATGGTGTGGCCATCCCTGCCCCTGTGGGTGGTGCTTTCTTCCTCTCTGTCTCTGTCTCTCTGAAGAGTACATGCACCCTCTGGCAAATTAAAACAAAACAAAACAAAAATACATGCCCTTACTATTTTTTTTGGGGGGGGAGAGGTTTTTGCTATAGGGCACCTGCGCTCACCAGAAAGACAGAAAGTGAGAAATCCCCCCAGGGGGGATGGCCACGCTGCAATCCCTTCTCCATTCTCCTCTCGGGATCTTGGGCATGCACGCACATGCGCACCGCGTGAGTTTAAGCTATCATGTCCAGGACTCGAACCGCGGTCGACTACATTGGAGTCCAGCGACATAGTCATTATGCCAACTGCTGGTCCCCTTCTGTGCAAATTTCAGAACCGTGTTATTCATCAAAGGCCCAAAGCAGAAACAACCCCAGTGTTCAGCAACAGCCCAGGGGATACACACATTGCAGGACAGAGGGACAGCGGGAGAACGCTTGGTAACTGGAAGCCACCCACGGGCACACGTCCAATCACTAAAACCACCACGAAAGGCAACACACCAGGGCCGGTCCGGAATACAGAACCTGAACTCCTGGAGACAGGCGTGTGGGGCACTGGGGTGCTGGCATGGGGAAGCACCGGGAGCCTAGGGAGCTGGTCACGTGAGTGCACACACATGCAAAGCACTCACGGGACTTTGGATGCACTTGGCACAAAGTGACGCCTCAGGGGTCCTCCCAGAGACCCCCCTGCTCTTCCTCAGAACGCATCTTATAGTTTGTAATTCCACGTTCGCTTGTGGATTTACTCCTTCTGAGGCTCCCGGTATCCAGCGCACGCTTGGCACACAGCAGGAGCACAGCCAGCAGCTGCTGAGCGAGTGAGCCACTCGGTCTCCTCCACCCCAGCACGGCCCTTGGCGCTGAGGTCCCCTTTCACCCACACTCTATAACAAGATCCTAGCACTTAGTAGGGCCACAAGAGGAGAAAGGAAGGAATTGCAGCCGCGGGGTCCGCCCACACTATACGCTAGCGTCAAAAGTGGATATTGCCAGCGGTGCAAACACAGGGACCCTTCGGCCTGACCACACTGGGAATGAAACTGACCGCCAAGGAAGGGGACGACACTTGTGAAATGGAGAGCGAGTAAGACGGTTACAGAACGGGGGCTGCTGCAAAGCCATCTGAACCCTCTACGCAGAGAACACCGACGAGTCACCGCCAGGCTGCACCTTTCAAGGACCTCAGGCAACCTGCCATGAGCCCACGGGACACCCACAGGTGAGTCAAAGGTGTGTCTGTGACACTCCACCGGATCCTGGCCTGGTACGCCTGGACACTGCCACGGCCATCAGAAACGGGGAGTCAGAAACTGCCACAGCCCAGAGGTACCTAGGGAGGGAGCCGTAAGGGCTCTGAGGGGCTATCCCAGAGGCATCCTGGAACAGAGTGGGCATGAGAGGAAAGCCAGCGAAATCCGGCCCGGCCTGGAGGCTGGGTCAGCCCCTGGTTCGGACAAGGGTGAAACCCACGAAGACCCTGGCACTGGGCAGGCCCCGCAGGTGCGAAGGGAGCGCTGGGCGTGCGTGGGCGTCTTACCTTGGGCGGGTCGAAGAGCTCCAGCACGCGCTCCGGGCTGTCGGGGCCG